TTTTATCGAAATAAATAGACTGATAGTCACCACTTGACTTTTCTCTCTTTCTTTTTTATTTTGTAGTTTTTTTCCTCTTTGGTAGGATATTTATTTCCAAAGTATGTGAATCTCGCCGAAACAAACGGAGTGTTAGGGGTTGTTTGGGATGATCTAAATAAGTGTACTTTTTATCTTTTTATGAAAAGATGTGCAGAAAAATAGAGAGGTGATGTGATAGAAAAAATATAAAAAGATAAAAATATGAATTATTTAAGGGATGCAAAACTAACCCTTAGTTTTTTTTTTTGGGTAGGGCTCATGGGGGATTAGATCTACCACTACAAAAAAATTACGATTTTAGAGGCAAAAATTTAAAAACAAAATTAACTCTTAAAGAACAAATATTTTTGTTGACAAAAGTGTCGTCATTATATTTTTAGTAACGAAAATTGGACATTAATAATGAATTATTATTCTTTCGGAATCAAAATTTTTTCCTAAAAAAGAAAACTCTTTTGAGACCAAATTATTTTATCTCCAAAAGTGCATTTATTAGTGACGCTTTTAAAATTTTGTCACTAAAAATCTTTTTTTTTTTTCACTTTTCGGAACAACTTTTTACTGACTATACAATAGAATTAGTTCTTAAATTTTTTTGCAACAAAAATAAAGTTTCGAAACCTGGTTTTAATAATAGTATTTGTAAAGATTATTTTCAAATTGTAGTTTGCCTTTTTTGTGATGTTAAACAATTTTTGTAAAATGTAGATAGGGTCCTAATATACATGTTTGTAATAAAATAACTTCAAGTTTTTAATTTTACAAATTTAAACCTTAATTTTTTATTATTATTTATTTTCAATTTAAACTGTTTGATTATTTTCGTTAAGTAAACGGATAGTAAAAAAAATATCATAGTTTTTTTTTACCAAACCCTTTTAAGTAATGCAAAAAAAAAAAGTTGTATTTATTACACTCAAATGTAGGTGTACATTAAATGACTAAAACATTATTTTTCATTGACTTTAATGACTAAAATATCATTTTCCTTGTCAGTTTTACTTACCATAAACACACTGATGGTTTAAGTTGAAACTAAATCAAAAAACTAAAGTATAAATTGCAAAATTAAAAATTTAGAGTTTATTTTATTATAAGTGTTAAACCTGACTTTTCTTTTCTTTTTCTTTTTTTTTTTAAATTTATCTTATTATTATTATTATTAGGATCAAGCTCATTCAAATATAAATTCTGAAGCTATTGGCATGTTAGTTAATGAATAAATTTGTTGTCTTGGATTTTGTAGATGGTTGCAGTTTTTGCTGCAAAAAACCTGTTTGGTCATGATTTTGAAAAGTCATCTGATGGTATAACGGATACCATTGCTGGATTCGTGCAAGGTCTTATGTCGTTTCCATTGAACATCCCTGGTACTAGGTTCCACAAATGTATGAAGGTAATAGTAACACTAGAAAACAGAAAGGGAAACTCTACCTTCTCAAAAGTTTATTTGATTTTGATTATGATTTTTGATTGTAGGATAAGGACAAGTTAGAAAGCATAATAAGGGCAAAGTTAAAGGAGAGAATAGCTTGTCCAGAGGAAAAGAAAGGGGACTTCCTTGATCATGCAGTCAAAGACTTGAACACTGACTTCTTCTTGACAGAGAATTTCATCGTATCTGTCACCGTTGGAGCTTTGTTTGCTACCGTTGAGTCCATATCCACAGCCATAACACTGTCTTTTAAGTTATTTGCAGAACACCCTTGGGTGGTGGAGGATTTAGTGGTATGTAATATTGAAATCAACCATCAACATTATTCACTCTAATATTTTTCTCTAATCTAATTTAATTACTATCTATCTATCTATATATATTTCATTCAATTCTTTGTATTATAATTAATATTGATTATTATTTTAGGCGGAGCATGACATTCTTCTAAAAAACAAAGAGAACAAGGAATCCCCACTGACATGGGATGAATATAAATCCATGACTGTTACCATGCATGTAAGTTTCACACTCTAATTCATGTATATATATATGGTCTCTTTTGGAATTAATTGGCACATTGCGTTGCGTCATTATCTTGTGATGGTATGCCAAAATTGCAGGTTATCAATGAAGTGCTGAGACTGGGAAATGTTTTTCCTGGGATACTGAGAAGAACACTGAAAGATATCAATTATAATGGTAACAAATTACTAAATAAATGTTTGCATCTACATAAATTCATGATCTATTTTCCATATGATTTTAAAGTTAGGTTGGATGAGATTGTTAGTAAGGAAATTATTAGTGTGGGAGATTGTTAGTGAAGGATTTAGAAAAATTATTTTTGTTTGTCATATATTTTGGTGAGTGGATTAACTATATAAAATATCATAAACACCCTTCTTTGGTGTTTTTGATATATTTTAATATCAAAAAAATAATATTTTAAAAATATTTTTCCGTACTATATTATTTTAATATATATAATGACATAATACTACAAGCCCATACAAATACACAACACATAATATTGCCAAAATAGTATTTTTCTCAAACTAATCCCCTCACTAGGTTTGAAATCCAAGCCTTAGAAGTCTTTGTTAATCCCCTCCTCTAAGGCCTATCATAGTCCCTTTTCCTATTTTTGCAAACAAACACTATTATAGTGGGTCCCACATTTATCATAATCCAATCCCCTCATTTGTCTCTCAAAACAAATGAGTTCTATGTGTTGTGGGAGAGCGGCACCTCTCGAGACTTTATTTCCTCGACAACTGTCTAGGCTCTACTTTGTGGGTTTCGTGGTGTTTCACCACGATTAAGGATTTCCAAATGGCTTGCGAATAAAAAACTCGATATTACCCAACTTGACCAACCTGTCTCATGGTCCGTCCCAACTTACTTAAGTGTTCATCTCATCTGAACTCATAAAAGATGATTTAGGCTTTGGACAAAAGCTTGTAATTCGAGTCTGCTCATAAACTCAGCCTGTAAGAGCCCGCATGAATAAGTCTAATATTTAGTTTGAGGTTTTTTGGTCTAATGTTTAGTTTGATTATTTATATATTTATTTTTTTGTTCTCATGTTTAAAGCTTTTATTTTATTTTTTTCTTTCCATTTTTTGCCCCTCCACTTGTATAATATGTTACTTGATTGTTTTTTTTTTCAATTACTATATGGGATGATAATCCAAACTGTTTATCTCATAGACCTAAAAGAGAAGAATATATATGCAAAAAATTAACTTAATTGGATATCGATAATCATACTAACTATCGTATTTTGTTTTATAAAATGAACAATTTTGGGTTTAAAATAATATTTACCATCAATTTCATAAAACAAAACACAATTAGTTAGTGTATTTATTGATTTTCAATCAAGTTGATCTTTTGAATATATGTTTTTCTCGTCGAAACTTATGAGATAAATGGTTCGAATCACCATTGTGGAGCCCTACGAAAACCATAAAATGAATTCTTGAGAATTATGGAGAAAATGAAGTATTGAGAGAAGCTACTCCCTATGTGGTTCCCTTTGTCAAATGGTCATGTATTCCTTCGTCTCCTATTAGGAAAGAACACCACATGTTTTATAATTCCGACCTATTAAATAATTTGTGACGTGATGCTTAGGGTTGCACATCTCATACTTAAATCATCTCAAAGTTTAATAACAATTGTCCAATTCCAATTTCCAGGTTATACAATTCCAGCAGGTTGGGCCATTATGATTGTCACTTGTACTCTTCAACTAAATCCCAACGTATTTAAGGATCCACTTACATTCAATCCGAGACGTTGGAAGGTTAATTTTGTTTTCTTTCTCTCTTAAAACAAAGAATTAATGATATAATACTGTTGGTCGTAGATCTATTGTCCCAATATGCATTTTCAATCATTAGATCATGTGTTGAAATTTTAGTGTTCCAAAATTCTCACACAATCTAATATTATTGATAGTGCATTGAGACATATAAAAACATTATATATATATATATATATTACCCAATCTTTGATTCATTGATGAAAATAGGACATTGACCCGCAAACCGCATCAAAGAATTTTATGCCTTTTGGTGGAGGGACGAGACAATGCGCAGGTGCAGAGTTGGCCAAGGCATTTTTTGCCACCTTCCTACATGTTTTAGTCAGTGAATACAAGTATGTACTACTACTACTACTAATGTCCTTTTAAAATTTGTTTCACATTTCATGGTTGTTCATGTTGTTTCAATTATAGTGACAAATATGACCCAAAATGAAGAAAATGGAAAGAAAATAGTAATAAAATTCAATTCTTACTATGCATTTAGTTAAGAGGATATATATTCATGACGAATTTATATCAGTGGATTTCTTTCACGAGGAAAAAAAAAGAAGGATGAATCTGAAAATTAAGATAACATGTTAATAAGATTTTTACAATTTTTTTACTCGGCCCATACCAGTCCATTGATTGGTCAAAACTCCAAAAACCCATTAAAATATAAAATTTGACACTATAGTTGCGGGCAAGGTAAGCCCGGCCCGTCCCATTAATGACCCTTAACAATGATAATCCAAACTGTTTATCTCATAGACCTAGAAGAGAAGAATATATATGCAAAAAATTAACTTAATCGGATATCGATAATCATACTAACTATCGTATTTTGTTTTATAAAATGAACAATTTTGGTTTAAAATAATATTTACCATCAATTTCATAAAACAAAACACAATTAGCTAGTGTATTTATTGATTTTCAATCAAGTTGATCTTTTGAATATATGTTTTTCTCATCGAAACGTATGAGATAAATGGTTCGAATCACCATCGTGGAGCCCTACGAAAACCATAAAATGAATTCTTGAGAATTATGGAGAAAATGAAGTATTGAGAGAAGCTACTCCCTATGTGGTTCCCTTTGTCAAATGGTCATGTATTCCTTCGTCTCCTCTTAGGAAAGAACACCACATGTTTTATAATTCCGACCTATTAAATAATTTGTGACGTGATGCTTAGGGTTGCGCATCTCAAACTTAAATCATCTCAAAGTTTAATAACAATTGTCCAATTCCAATTTCCAGGTTATACAATTCCAGCAGGTTGGGCCATTATGATTGTCACTTGTACTCTTCAACTAAATCCCAACGTATTTAAGGATCCACTTACATTCAATCCGAGACGTTGGAAGGTTAATTTTGTTTTCTTTCTCTCTTAAAACAAAGAATTAATGATATAATACTGTTGGTCGTAGATCTATTGTCCCAATATGCATTTTCAATCATTAGATCATGTGTTGAAATTTTAGTGTTCCAAAATTCTCACACAATCTAATATTATTGATAGTGCATTGAGACATATAAAAACATTATATATATATATATATATTACCCAATCTTTGATTCATTGATGAAAATAGGACATTGACCCGCAAACCGCATCAAAGAATTTTATGCCTTTTGGTGGAGGGACGAGACAATGCGCAGGTGCAGAGTTGGCCAAGGCATTTTTTGCCACCTTCCTACATGTTTTAGTCAGTGAATACAAGTATGTACTACTACTACTACTAATGTCCTTTTAAAATTTGTTTCACATTTCATGGCTGTTTATGTTGTTTCAATTATAGTGAGAAATATGACCCAAAATGAAGAAAATGAAAAATAATAATAAAATTCAATTCTTAGCATGCATTTAGTTAAGAGCATATATCTTCATGATGAATTTATATCAGTGGATTACTTTCACAAGGGAAAAAAAAAAGGATGAATCTGAAAATTAAGATAACATGTTAATAAGATTTTTACAATTTTTTTTTTTCATTTAAAGAAAGTCTTAATGTGTTTTTTCATTTCTGTTTTTGATTCTGATAGGTGGACGAAAATTAAGGGAGGAGATGTAGCCCGAACACCTATGTTACAATTTCAAGATGGCATGTATATCAAGGTCTCTAAGAAACATGCATGATTGCGGAACACCACCAGTACTCAAATGCAATATTTATTTTTCTTATTTGGTGTTTCTATCCGTGTCTGTGTTAAGGTTTGTAAAAACTATGATGGCCAGCAATGAGCTGGAGAAAACTTATGTTTGTTTATGTATTATTTACTTAAGTTGATTAATGTCTTTGTCTTTTATCTATTAAATAAAGAGAGAATATCTAGCTCTTTTCCTTTTGTATTAGATTTTAAATTATTTAATGAATTTCACATAGTTTATGATAAAAATCAGTGGACAGTGGATTCCTGGATGCAGCTGGATTCACACAGGTGTTGGAGTAGTTGGGTGGATCTCGGGTCTCATCTTGTGGGGGCTTGTGGACACCTCATTTTTTTTTTTTATTGATCTTAAAACTTGAGTGCTAAAACTCTGGATGATGAAATAATGATTGCACTATCTCAACTTAAAAGTATAAGCCTCAGATCAGAAAGACCACTATTTACTCTCTCGTTTTTAGCCAAAAGAGTAAATTCCCTGTTTGTTTAGGGTGAAAGAGAGGGTATTGGGATTGTTAATACCAAGATATTAATAATAGCTTTATTTGTTTTGGGAGAAGGCCTTGGGACTATTAGTCCCTTGGTATTATTAATACTCTTGGAGAGGGGATTGATAAGGAGAAGGTAGAGATGGTATTAGAAAAATAGTGAGGGGATTAGAAATTTTTTTATTTTTTTTATTTTTTATATATGAGAAACTTTTTTTAAAATATAATTTTTAATTTTTTATATTTTTTTATTTGTTTTATTATTTTATATAAAAATAATTTAACAATTCCTCACTATTAATCCCCTCACTATCAATCCCCTTACTACTAATCCCCTCACTATCAATCCCCTCATTAATAATTCTCTCACTATTAATCCGCTCACTATCAATCCCCTCTATTCTATCTCCCAAAACAAACGGGGCCTTAAGGTGTTTTCTAAAGGTTAGAGAGACCTTCTCAAGCAGTTCATCAAGGCCAAATTATATTAATGATTCTTATAATTTAGAATTTGTGTCACTTTAATCTTTAACTTTTCAATTGTGACATATTTGATTCTAAATTTTGAATCTTGTTCCAAATAAAGATAATTGAAAATAACATTGCTCAATTTCAAGGGCAAAGTCATCAATTTGATAAAATAAATTAGTTTGACAAAAATAAATGTCAAAAAAATATTTTTAAATTTTTAAAAATCATTTCTACACACCAAAGATAAAATTATGTAAAATTGATAAATCTCTTACACATTTATTTTTTTTTATGTTTTCTACAAAATTAATTTTTATTATGTGTTTGGATGATGATCATGTAATGGGTGGTTATTTTTATTTCAATTAAATTAGTTTCTATTTTTTTGAAAGTCAAATATGGCGATAACTTTGATATCATTATTAAACCATTCCATTAAATTAAAAAAATCTCAAACTAAATACATTTTATATATTAAATATATCAATTACACATTAAAAACCTAACAACCACCCATTACATGATCATCATCCAAACACATAATAAAATAAATTTTCTAAAATAAATAAATAATAAATACGTAAAAGATTTATCAATTTTACATAATTTTATTTTTGGTGGGTAGACATAATTTTTTAAAAATTCAAAAATATTTTTTTTTGACATTTATTTTCGTCAAATTAGTTTATATTTTATCAAATTGACAACTTTGCCCTTGAAATTGAGCAATGGTCTTCAATTATTCTTATTTGGAACAAAATTCAAAATTCAAAATTCAGGATCAAATGTGTCACAATTGAAAAGTCAGGGACCAAAGTGATACGTGTTTTAAACTATAAGAACTGTTAGTGTAATTCGCCCTTTCATCAATTTCTTATTTTGTGCTTTCTAAAATGTTGATCTATTTAAAAGAAACAAGTGCAGAAAGTTGGAATGAGTGAAAAGATGAGAAAACCTTTTAGAAATGTCGTTGTTTTATCCACATCAGGAAAACCTTCTAGGAATGCTTTCGTTTGGTTTTAGTGAATTTTTTTTTTCTTTCATATTTTAGTTTATTTATTTATTTTTTTAAACTTTTTAGTTGCATCTAATCTTTTAGTGAATTTTTCTTCATATTCTTGTTTGAGGTAAGGGTTTTGTACTATTTATTTAATCTGAGTTGTGGGATGTATGTGTGATAATTTACATAAGAAAATTGTAATTTTTTTTTCCCGGGAGAATAGCATGTACAAGTCACGAAAGAATAGAAAATAATTGAACCTTGATGGTCCTATGTGGTTCAAATTGGCTAAGAATGGTTTGTTAGGGATGTTTTGATAGGCTAAAGTCAAGCTTAGTGCATTTAATCTTGGATTTAAGCTAGCAAACCAAAACTTGGCGATCACTCTTGAGTTCATCATAGGGTAGCATTTTCCAAGTAGGGCCAACAATTATAGACAGTGAAAATAGGTGTTTACATCTATTTACCCTCCCCTCCAGTGACCTTCTTCATTGCGAACGTCACTCCACCATTCTCTATCTGTTGTCCTCTCTCATTTATAGTCACGGAAGAGCTTGTTGGCCGACGTTGGGGGTTAACAAGCAGGGCTAGGAAACTATAGAGGTGAGAAGAAAAGTTGTCGATTGGGGGTGGTAGGAAGGGCCCGAGAAGGTGTGGTTTGAGATGGGAATGGAGTGGTTGTAACGACCTGAGGTAATGGTGATGGTTAGTAGAATGAGAATGGAGTGGGGGTGGGGTTCGAGTTTAGAAAATTAGGGTTACAAGGTTAGGGATGGGGGTAAAATGAAATTTTATGTTACAGTAAACTTGAAAAAACAAAAAAGGGCAATTCTATTTACAAACCACACACAATTTTGATTTTTTCTCAATGTACACCATCAATTTCAAATATCCAAAATATCCATATTTTTTCCAATTCCAACCCTAACCTTAACCCTAACTTCACCATTACTGCCATTGTCACCACGTCAAAAATTGCTACCGTTGCCTCTCTCAATTCCCTCTTGCTGTTGCGCCCTCCTATCGATGTCATCTACTTCCACAACAACTTACTTCATTTTTATACTCTTCCCCATTGTAACTGCCTACAAGCTCCACCCCAATTGCCCTTCTTCAACCCTTTGGAGCTGCATATCTGTAACTATCTTCTCTTTCTCTCTATTTCCATCCCCAACTTTCTCTTCTTTTTCTTTTTCTCTTCAAACCTTAGATATGGGTTTTCTTCTCTTCAAACCTTATATCTGGGTTTTCTCCCTGTCTCTTTCTTTTGTATGGGCAGACGATAGTTGGATCACACAGTAGAGGAACTGGGTCGCAATTGAAGAGGGGAGGTCTAGTTGATGGGTCTAGCTTCTGATCCGAATCAACCCTCAAAACTAGACTCTTCTAATAACTGATCTTTTTTGTAAAAACCACTTAAATGTGTGGTTGAACAAGGCACAATTCACATCAATCGGTGCTAGGTTGATACATCTCATGCTTCGCTAAAAAATGTTGTTGCCGAGGATTGAACATGAGATTCAAACACAATAGATAACCTCTTACTACCAAGGCAACTAATCTTGAGTCGTAATTGGAGACATATATTATTTACATCATTGTTTTTATGTTATTAAAATTTTAAATCTTGAATTAAAATTAAATTGATAACACAAGTATTTTTTTTAAAATTTTAATAGCTATATTTTATTTATGCATAATTATTAATATTTATTTAATGTAATTATGACATCATGATTTAATTTCGGTTAACATAACAGTTGAATCATTGACCCTTGACCCAGTTCTTTTTCTAGTTTGCTCAATGGTAAAACATTGGTTGGCAGTCTTGGAAAAGTAGTTGGTTAGGGGTTAAGGTGGTTGCAGTGGGGAATTTGAGGCAAGGAAAGGGATCACTAGGGATGGAACTGTGACCATAGTGGTCACAGGTCCTTATAGACATCCCATTTTAACTGGCATGTTTTTTTCCGAACACCCGATGATGAAAGTCAAGATGTGCTAATCTTCCGAATTCTTCAGCAAGAAGTCTGAACTTAGGCTTTAATTCCAACCTTACACCCGTTTTGGCCAAAACATTTTAGACCAAATTACCTTTTTCAAAATACATTTAGTTGCGCAGTTCCAAACATTTCCAAACATTTCTATAATGTCCCGAGACTTGCCTTTTCAAACTATAAACATTGTCTTTTTTAGTAGATCGAGTGAAGGATTTAGTGGGAACGAATAGAAATGGTGAAATCCTCTGAAATACAAATCATGCTAGATTTACCTTATTGATCTAACTGTATATTTTTCATCCAGCCATACAACAACTAATGGCTGGATGAAAAATATAGTCGGCCGAATGAATAATGGTACGGCTGGTTAAAATGTTCGGGTACAGAGCATTTTCGATAATTTTAGCTCATTTTTTTTTGTGAATTTTTTACAAATATCTTAGATATTTTGACTCCTAAAGTCTACAAATACATGACCAAACTTCTTTCTCAAGTGTTACAAATTTTTCAAAGGTCAAGAGACTTGTTTTTGAGAGCCCATCACCTTACCTCTCTTCTAACCTCCATTTTTCAAACACCATTAGAGATTAACTTTCAGC